ACCTACTACCTACTACCTACTACCTACTACGTACCACCTACTACCGACTACCTACTACCTACTACCTACTACTGCTGCTACTACTGCTACTCTATTCTGATCCAGCGATCGACATGTCTCAGTCCAATGGTTGTCTATTCTGATCCAGCGACCTACTACCTACTACCTACTACGTACCACCTACTACCTACGACCTACGACCTATGACCTACGACCTAGTACCTACTACCTACTACCTACTACGTACCACCTACTACCTACGACCTACTACCTACGACCTACGACCCATGACCTACGACCTAGTATACCTACTACCTACTACCTACTACGTACCACCTACTACCTACTACCTACTACCTAACTACCTACTACTGCTGCCACTCCTGCTACTACTAGGGGGGGGAGGGGAGGGGAGGGGGGGGGGGCGTCAGGCTGTCGAAAATCTCGCGCGGAGAGACAATACTCAAGCAATACTAACCAATACAAGCAATACTAACCAAAACAATCCACAAAACACGCCGGCAGGCCGGCGGATTTCTTTTGGAGGCTTCCCCACTATCCCGGCAGGGCCGTTAGACACCAGGTCACCGGTCAGGGCGCCCCCAGTCACCGTGGAGTGCCGGGTCACGTTGGCGCCGCGTCGGCTCCACTCAGGTGGTGGCGATACATTCAAGCCAAGCGACAGGCGATCAACGCTCCGGTGCCTCGATACCGTTGCATTGGAAAGATGACCGGTGGCTGTTAGTTAGTGTTGGTGGTTGTGATTGTTGTGGTTGTGGTTGTCGTTGCGGCTGCTGCCGCTGCTGCTGCTGCTGCTGCTGGTGCTGGTGCTGGTGCTTGCGCTGGTGTTGTTGTTGTTGTTGTTGTTGGTAGAAACAAAAACAGCCACCCAACAGAATTGTCACATGTTGTAACTTTGGAACTTCAAGGGGACAAGGTTAGGGATACGGTTGAAGGATGTTGAAGGTTTGAGCGAATGTTGGTTTCGCAAGTAGGTGGACTACTTGGACTTGTTTCACTGAAGTCTGGGCTGGTCCATTTATGGTTTTTGAGGTGTTGTTCTGGAGGGGGCGTCCAAACAAACAACAACGGGGCCGCAGTCTTTGTTTCTAGGAGGGGGTAGTGACAACAACACCTTTTGAGGGGGAGGGGTCCAAAAAACAACAACGCTGCTGCAGTTTTTCTCTCTAGGATGTGGTACAGGTTCTAAGTAGAAGTTTTATAGAGGCTTAGTTGACCGGTTATTATCATTACTATCCCTACTTCTACTACTACTACTACTACTACCACTAGTATTATTTACTAGGCTACTGCTACTTCTACCACTGCTACTCCTACTACTACTACTACTACTACTACTACTACTACTAGGACTACGACTACGACTCCGACTACAACTACTACTAGTACTAGTACCACTAGTACTAGCACTAGTACAAGCACTACCACTACTGGTAAAAGGCTGGTTGTTTGGGGGGGGCACAAAACAACGACGGGGCTGCAGATTTTGTTTCCACCCCCTTGTAGAGACAAAGGAACAAGATATGTCGTAATGGGGCTGCAGTTTTTGTTTGTACCTTGTTGTTGTTGTTGTTGTTGTTGTTGTTGTTGTTGTTGTTGTTGTTACTGGTCTTAATGTTGTTGTTACTGCCCTAGCGCAGTGTGAGGAAGTTCTGGGTCTGGAGTTCCAGAGATGCGCAGAGTGGAATCCACAGGTTTTGGGATCTTAGATGACGAAGGTTGGAGATCGAAACTTGGATGACGGCGCAGCATCTATGAACCTTTTGGAGTTGGAAATCGTCACAGATGGTGCCTCTCTTCTTTTTCTCTCTCTCTCTCTCTCTCTCTCTCCATGATATATTATCCGCTTGGACGTCAGCTTTTGCCACCCCCTTCGAGCCACGTTCTTTTTGCAAATGATTAGGTCTATACAAATAAATAGGGAACTGCTAAGCAGTTGCGGAGGCTGTTCTGCTTGGGGCGTAGGTGTCGTGTAAGCATTTTAGGTGGGCATTGAAAGACTTGCGTGGGCAGTTTTGCGTAGGCACATTTTTCATAAAAACGTAAGTCTTTTGCTCAGACTTCTTTAAATGTTGCTCAAGGGTCACAATTTTTGTTTGTAGTTGTTTAACTTGGCACTCCATCGAAAAGAGTAGTCTTGGCCATATTGACTGACTGAAGACATGCACTTCGTCCTGTAAAACGACAAAGGAACTCCCGACAATGATATCCTTGGAATGAGCACATGTGATGCAATATGATTGCTAGTACTGCATTTGGACCAGCACCTGCTCTTCCTGACAGCATAGTTGCTGCGTAGAATTGTGGAACAGACTGTGTGGGCTGTTTGGTTCCCAACAACAGTCCTATTCTTGCGTAGGCCCGGCGTAGGCACTCGCAGAAGCAGCGCGTAGGCAAGAAACTATTGGTTGCTGCTACTACTTGGCTGCTGCTTCTGTTGCTGCTGCTTGGTTGCTGCTGCTGCCGCCTCTTGTTTGCTGCTTGTTGTGTGTTGTTTGTGTGCTGTTTGTGTGCTGCTTCTGTGCGGTTTGTTCTGTTTGTGTGCTACTGCTGCGCTGTTTGTTTGCTGTTTTTTGTGCTGCTTCTGTGTTGTTTCTTTGCTGTTTCAGTGCAGTTTGTCCGCTGTTGCTGCTGCTGCTGCTGCTTCTGCTGCTAATGCTTGTGTGCTGCTGCTGCTGCTTATGTGTTGCTGCTGCTTCCATACTGTAATTGGATTGGTTGATGATGTTTGATGTAAAAGTCTTGTAAGCAGGAACCTGATGTGACCCGGTCGCACGGGGCCACAAATTGCGGATTAGCATGGATTACGTGGATTAGCTCTTTTCGAGTCACCTGATTGTGACAAAAGTTGGTGACAGTACCCTGCCTAGGCATCAAACTTTAAATTTCATCTTTTTTGGATTGCCGTGAGACAATCTTCCTGCTTTCCTTGCGTGGTTTTCCCCCAGGTGCAAGGCGGCTCCGCAGACCTGGTGGCTGAGGCCATGGTGAAGGCGCCTGGTGGCCATGGCGCCTGAGGGATGGGAGGGTCTCCCCCAAATCCCGAGCCCCACCGGTAGGAGAACTCGACTTCCGTGGGTTTTTGTGCGACGTTCAGAGAACATAGAACAAGAATTAATCATGTTGTGAGATAGAAAAAATGCCGGGAAGGCTATATGAGGCTCCATTGCCATCGTTTTTGCGTCCCTTTTTCGGACGAAAAAACAGACGTTCCTACCGCTACTTCATGACTGGTTTCGGCCACCCTTCACCTCCTCAACGAGAAGAAACCACCAGTTGCTGTGAAAGAGTGCCGTGTGTTTCGCACAGGACCACTGCCTTCCCCCCGTTTGCAGAGAAGCATTTTTGCCTCGGTCGATCATTTTCCACATAATACGATCATAGAAGATCCACAATTCCTGCAACGTTGCTTCAGTAACCAAGGCTAAGAACTGTGTTTCACGATGAAGTTCAAGACTGAAAAGAGGGATCTACATACTAAGGCGTCACCAAGTAGTTTCCAAGTCATCAGCAAATCAGTTCACCGATTGACCAACAGCAGGAACACGCGACCAATTGAACACGGTTTGAGTTTTGCAGCAGGTTGGTTTGTTCTGCTTTAAGATCTCAGCCAAGCCTTCTAGTGCACATGAACATTGACATCACACGGTGTGCTACATAGATATAGATCTCGGGATAAAACAGTGCGATTTAAATCATATCCAGCCCAACAGCTGTTCGTGTTCACGTTCGTCAGCTGTTCATCGGTTCTTTTTCGACCGGGGACCGGAACCCCCAGGCGGAGAACGACGAAGAGCTGCGAAGCTTGGGCTATGTCATGGTGCTTCAGGCTCCAGAGACGGGAAGGAGCTGTGACCACGAGGTCGTGGTTGCAGCGCCCCTGGGCAGGGCTTGGCGTCAGGTGCCCAGGGCTTTGGGGGACCCCAAAAAGGAGGGTGGGTTTTTGGGGACCCATATCTTCGCCTCTTTTTGGAGGCCAGGAATAGATACCCTATGATACCCTAAACCTAAAGCAGCCTTGCTAGAGCACATCAACTGTATATGTCAAGGAGTTTATGGTTTGCCCTTGGTATATAGACATTTTTGAGGTCCAATCCCTCGCCCGCCCTGGCACCCTATTTCCATGAGCAGGCCATTTTTGGTGGGACTGAAGATCCCGGTTTTCAAGTTCTACACTCCCGAAAACTAACATAGACCCTGACAATGGTCCCATGGAAGATTATTTTCCTCTACCAACCAGGGGTTTTCAGGTTCAATGTTAGTCTTCCAGGGTGCAACTCTTTTTAGACTCAGAGTTTCCACCCAAACGGGATTCCGTTTCCCTCAGATGTCCCCAGATGTCACCTGGAGGTTCGTGGTGGCGCAACAGGTTGGTGGCCTTGTTCTTCAATTGTGACGGGACGTTTTTCGGGTCTTGCTTTGTACCAGATCTGGCCTTTTGCCCTGAAGGCTGAAGGCCTATAATATGGAAGTGGATCAACACCTCCAAACCCTGGTAGGTTGACCTCCCTCTTATTGCTTTGTTCATTGGTGGTGGTCAACCACAGTCACCCTGTTTTGATCCGGCATATCAGACTTGGTTCCTCCATGTAACTCATATTCTGGTTCGCATCCGCGACCGGAGTCCAGGTTCATGACGAGTTGATTTTTGAAGGGCCTGAGGACCGCGTGCACTGTGTGGACCATGCAGGTCGGAGGGCGCGCCTTCCCCAACACAAATGAGAGATGCTGGTGGAACATCCCCCCAAGAAGAATGGATATGTTTTTGGAGTTGCCGACTTACCTGCTTAGGATGTGTCCAACCAAAAAAAAAAACACGTGTTTTTTTGTTATTGTTTTTCTGTAGCTGCTGAATGGAATACAACCAGGGTGGTTCTGCTCCATCACTTTAGGATACTTTAGGTCTTTTCTGCCAGGTTGCAATTAAGCTCTTGACTTCAAATGGACACCGGACACGTGCAGCTGCGGATGAAATCACTCAGCCGGACTTGACGCGGGCACGGCGAAGCCGTTGATGAAGGCGAAGCCTGTTGTCAGATGTTGGTAGGGGGGTATTCAAAGGAGAAGGCCTTCAACCCGGGTTGCCCCCATTCCGCTAGACAGTAATGATCATAATCTCATATAGTCTCATAGTGATGACACAAACATCTCACTAGGTTTAGTAAATCGGTGCCTGTACTTAGAATCATCCAGTATTGGTGGTCATGGAATCATCTAGTATGATAGCAGTTTCGAGAGGATTAGCCGCACCTTTGACAAACCCCCTCTTTGCAAAAGATCCTTGCTCCTAAAGGAACCTGCAACTGCCAACTTCGCAAGGTGAGATGACCTCCTTGATCCCTAAAATTGGCGGGATTCGTGCATTCAATCGCATGTTTGTCAACCACATACGAGTCATTTGTGTGATGTACTGAGGAGCACGCGGAGCAGGCACTCAGCGCTGTGAAGCTGGGGCCTTGGAAGTGAGCACGCAGATCACTGACCCGAAGGGGCTTAGCAGAATGACTGGTGAAACAGACTGATGTGGTGTTGGACGCTTGGTGAGGTCAAGCGGCAGTTTAGCAAATTCTTACAACCAGGTTCCTTTGTCAAGGACGTAGAAGAAGAGATGCTAGAACCTAAGTAATTAGAAGCCTGAACCCGGTTTCTCTTTGAGTCCAGGTTGCATGTGTTCAACATCTTTAGCCAAACCTGCCAAACGTGTGATTGATTTAAATCGACGGACTCTTTTTTTACAATTCAAGCGATGAAAAACGCGGGGATCTCTAACAGCTGAGGGGAGCCGAACAAATCCGTGAACAGGGCCAGAGAAATGCTCCATCAGATGTGATTGTCAAACATTCTAGATTTATGTCGGCCGCGCCAGCCATAGATACCAGGAGCCAAAATAACTTTATAAAATTGTATAAAGCAAAAACAAAGCAAACAAAAAGCAAAAGGCAAAGCAAACAAAAACGCAAAAACATGTAGCTGTACGTCTTTGTCGCTTTTTTCACTTGTTGTTCGCTTTATTTTCGCATGTGTTTCGCTTTCTGTTTCACATTTTTGTTTGCTTTATGTTCGCATTTTTTCGCTTTTTTCCTAGGAGCGTACAGCAAATATTGCTGACGGGTAAAGGTTCTCATAAGTGCAGAAGTGGTATACCAGGAAAAAAGCGAAAAAAAAAAAGGCAAAACAAATGCAACAACAAAGCAACTTGCGCTGCTTTTGCATTTTCATTTGCTTTTGTTTTGCTTAAAAAAAAGAAAACTATTTGATGGTTGGTCGTGTATGGCTGCCATTGGTCAACATAATTCTAGATTCTAACAGTCATGGAAATTAATTGACATGTTAGATAATCATGTTTCCTTGGAAGACTACCAACTCCGCTAGAAACATCTAGTATACTATATGGAGTTGTTGTTTTGACAATGGGCTATTGGAGAAGAGGCGAGGCCGCGAGACGCGTAACTTGACCACCTCTCCACACCGTTGCAAACACCGAAGGCGGATTATGGAGCATCCGTTCTTGGATGACTATCAGTTCAAAGTGCCCCTTGTGGTGGATGCCAAGGTGGGAAACATCGGAAACATCTTGGAACCCTGAACCCCGCGTCAGCCTTGGAGTGTCCGGACTGGGTTTCTTCGTGACCCACTAGGTGATTCGGTGAGGAGAAAGAGAGAGAAGGACCTCCGGGACGAAGCGAAACCTCGCATCGACGTCATCTCCCAACCACCGGTTGTTGGTGGAGTCAATATCAAGGTTGCACCGCTTGGAATGACAGAGCCGCCACCAGAGCAGCGGCTCAATACGAGCAAACAAGAGTCCAACAGTCAGATGTCTCTCCACCAGAGTCGGACAGGATGCTCAACAACGACCGCATCATGGCAAGAAAAAAAGGAAAGCAAAACCCGTCGTCCAAGCCCGACCCTGTTCGACCCTGTTCGACTGGATCAGTCATTCATGCGGATTGCTCCGCCAAAGATCAGAACTGCAAGAGACAGACTCCCAGACCTGTTGATTTCAGGATGAACTTTCCTGAATTTCTCAAACCAGTTGATTCATCAGGTTTCAAGATGATTTCGGGGATGCAACTTCCTCGTTTCCGGACCACTGGTCCCAATGTTCCGCTTTGACCGAATGACCAGGTGGCGCAGTCCTGGCATGAAGCGAAGCATGCCTAGGTGGGCAAGGCTGGAGCTTCGTGGTGTTAAATCAGCTCGCCCTGAAATGTAATTTGAGACACAAACAGAAAGAGTGGTGGAATAGGGGTCGTCCAGAAATGTCTGGTATGAGAAAGGTCTAGGTGTATGCTTTTGTTGTGTTTTTGAGTCTCGCCCAGATTCATCAAATACAACTCTGAGTACATGGAAAGGATACAATAAGCGCATGTGATCAACAAAACAAACGATTGCTACTAGAAACTCCAATCACGACCCAATAAGCAAATGACCATTGGCATCTTGAATGGATATTTGCATCTTGTGTGGGATGGTCGTACTTCTGTTCTGTATGGCTTGGTATATAACTTATATGGCTCTTTGAAGTTATGGCCATACTTCTGTTATGGCTCTTTGAAGTCATGTTTTGATAACTGTAGTTATGTATCCTCCTGCAGATAAACATGCATCCTGAAAACCACTGGGTGGTAGATGGAATAGTCTTACAGGGGTCCATTTTCACTATCTATGGTCCGGTTGCAGGGGGCTAGCTGGAGGTCGTTTTGTGGTCAAATTTTGGAGGATTCTCAGTAGTTTTGCGTCGTCCCGCATGTGTTTGTGTTGTGAGGTTGAACATATTTTTGAAAACAGCGTGGGAGAATCAAAGAAGGGTGTTAAGTCATCCTAGTAATAGTACTGAATGATCACATCTGGCAAGACTAGACGCAGAAGACATGTAAGATCCTTGGATGTCGTATTTCAATCAAACCTCTTCTGTCGGCTTTCTCCACTTCTAAAATCAATGGGATAAAAACAAGTCTTCTTATAGAATCAATGGGATACAAACAAGTCTTATATTATAGAATGAATGCACATCCCTGAGTTTGTACTCGAAGTGCCGCTCAGTGTGTGTGTTTTCTTGGACCAGGGGGGTCTAATAACTTTCTGAGGATGTGGTTGGAGCCCTGGGGCACCAGACACTGGTGACATTTCTCATGTTCCCATTTCCACGCCTGCGCTTGGACAGGGGTGGTGCCGCCATGGGCCCGGTAGGGGAGAAAGCGATGCTTTCCGTGAAAGCTCGGGCCTTGTGGCCATGGGATGTGATGCTACCAGGTCAGGACTGGTGAGAAGGACTCAGGTCAAGACCCCCCCACTGCATCAACGGTGTTTTGTGTTCAATCAGGGTTGTGTAGGCACAACACAAGTCAAGATGCGGACCGCTTTGAAAAGACCTTGGAAGTGCAATATGATGCAATACGAGTTTGTTTCTTCTATTATCCGTTTACCGTATTGAACTTGGTCTAGTCTACCTGTCTCCTGAATATGATTTTGCCCTTGCTCAACTATTATGATTAACGCACAAGTTTCCTGGTCACAATAGTAATTGCTTGCCTCTCCTGAATCCTGGCTCAAAAGACCCTTTTCCTCATGCTCGCTCATTGCTGGCTCATGTGGCAACTGCCTCATAAAGTCCATGTAGACCCCTCATGCTGCAGTCCTGCCGATTCCTTATGAAGAGATTCGTCTTGGGTCTCTGCACCTTCAACGGGGTTTTTATAACATCCCAGATGCACATTCTAGGGTCCAAAAGGGATTATATAAAGGGATCCAGCTGAACAAGGATGCAACGTGACGTGAGAATCAAGGAGGAATCTCACATGATGTTTTAATCTACGACTCAATGTGGAAACAGAAGGTCATTTCCGCCGTTTCCGCCTGGTAGCATCCGATCTTGAAATCGTCGATGATTTGGCCAGTATTTGGGGCGGCCAAAAGAGTCTTGTGCCGTGGCGCTCTGCGGCGCCCGGGGCGGCTGACGCACGCATGACTGGGTGACACTGGGTGACTGGACGTTTGCTGCGGCAGAGAAGTGAGTGATTAGCGGGGTGAAGAAATCAGACATCTTATTGAACAATGACACTATGATCCAATAGATGTTTGATTATTCATAGTTCCTCATAATCCATAGTGTTTCTTTTTTCAGATCTATGACAGTGTGATCCAATAGTTACCTTGACGATGAATTGTTGGATCATGGTTGAAAGGTCCAAAATGCACCTTCCTGAAGGTCTATAGTGTGGCAACTCTATGGACTGAGGGGAGCAAACCCCGACAAGAACCATAGATGGTATTATATACCCTTGTTTGGTCGTCGTGCTGTCCCCCACCCGGTTTGTGTCGGTCCTTTGCAGCTATTTTCAGAAATTCCTCGGGACAGATCGCGGCCAATCAAGCCAAACCAAAGGCTTGGATGTGGGACGTCGTCTTTGCTGTTGTTTTCTCACCACATGCCAACACAAATCTCACTCTCACGCTTTTGTTGCGGGGGTGTCCATTCCCAATCCACCAATCCACCTGTTTTTTGCTTCAAAAGATCTGCATCGCAGACACTTCATTCCCGCATTTCTCCACTCCGGGTTTCGATGCGAAGCGGCGCCACCTCGTGGGATGGAGGCCATCACCATGGGCCTGGGCTTCTTGCTTTCAGCTCCTTGGACTGAGGGAGAATCAGATCCTCCGGAGGTTGACAGAAGAGAATCAGACGTTGACAGGAGTGAGTTGAGGGTGCGTTTCCTCCGAAGTGCTTTCTGAAGTGCTTTGACAATTGGACTAGAGAACCCAAATATTTGGTCCAAGCTTTCGGGCTTAAGGGTTTTGGAAGGCTAGGGCCAAGACATGTCTAGGCCTTACAAAGATGATCAAAGATGTGTGGTTTTGTTAGTCCGTCGTTTGACTCCGCAGTGGATCAAATTGAACAGAGGCACCAAGCCTAAGTGGGTTGCCCGATCCGATTGCGGTTCTGATGGTAAGGGAGCGATGTAGTCGAACTTGGCATCAGTGTGCAGCCCAGTCATTTGCAATGCCTGGCACCATCATGAAAGATCATTTTCAGGCAACAGCACCATTTGGGGTGTTCGAAGTGTAATCCTATCCAGCCATTGCCGACGGTGACGTGACCTTTTTGGGGGGGGGTCTCGCGACTGAGGATCTGGGTCGGCTATTGTTTCATGACCAGGTCTATGTCATCGTCCAGGAGGGGTGAACGAAGTGGCTCAGACTTCGGCCGGACTGATCTGAAAGTGGATGAACGCAGTAACGCCAGTGACCAAATGACACACCCTTCAAGATACTACGGCGGAACCAAAGACAGCCCTCCCCCCCACACCAAAATCAACTTCAACCTTTGGAACCGCCCAACCTCAAACTTCGATTTTCCACGTAGAAGAGCCTCCCTCCCACACACCATATCAGACCTGCATGACCCGGTTTGACCGCCGAATGACTCGAACTCTCATGTTACTATAGTAGCTTCTATAGTATACTATATAGTAGTATCTACTAGCATCTACAATGCCCTTTTGTTCTTCACGTAGCAGCGATGCCTTCCGATCGTCGCTTCGCTTCGCTGCGCCGCATTCGCTGGGGCAGGCGATCTTTTTCCTGCCCATCTCGCTGGCGATCTTCGTCGTGGAATGGTCCCGCGGGAGCCGAAGGGCCCCGCTCCCGAGTGTCTCAAGTGCCTTCGGCCGAGTGGAGCGTTGTGCGTTTCGGGCGCGTTGAGCGTTTCGCGTCGGAAGCCTGGAGCGTTTCGGGAGCGAAAGTGACAGCGAAGCTGAGGGTCTGTCCTTTTTTTGTTGACCTGTAACAGGACCCGCTTCAGGAAGCAATCATGTATAACTTTTTTGGGGGCAAGGCCTGCAACTGAACCATCATCAATCCACTGTCCCAAGATATCGTATATTGATGTACAGTATGTTGTATGTAATTGTATTCATATATGTACCCTACTACAAGTCCGAAGACTCAGCAACACCTGTTTATGTTTCCTCCTTGAGTAGTGTTGTTTGTATGACCAACTCCAGTAAAATGAGGTCATTGACCTGTCATTATATGCATTTACCTGATCACCCCACTTACCACCACACACTATCACTTACTGGTTGCTGGTTGCTCTATAAAATGAAGATGTCTTGTACCGTATAAAGTGCCAACATGTGTCAGACAATGCTCCAACCTTGCTGAAACACACTGTGAGGTAGGAGAGGAAAGTGCAATTTGTAAAAAGCTGGTGTTTCCAATGTTAAGTTCTTTGTGTGTATATAATGTATATATGTATATATTTATATTACACATATGAGGATGTAAAAGTCAAAGTTCCCGAGAATATACTAAAGAGGTGGAGACAAACTTCTTAGGTGTATTAATTGTGACAATTGCATTTTGTAGACAACTTGGTCACTTCAGATGATTGATTGCATATTTGTATGTGTTGTTGTTTTTTTTTTTTTCATTTTATGCCGCTGTTGTAAAACTGTAAAACTTGTTCTTTGGTAAAAACACCATTAAGGACTTATGCCTTTCAGAAAAGTTGATTCGCACTCACGACATTCTCAAATCCATAACGCGTGCCCAATGTACCAAGTAAGGATGATACTTGATCTATGTCGGGACGTTGCTCCCCAGAAGCCAAGGAAATGCTGGTGCAGAGCATCAAAAGCGTGTGGAGAAGGTGGCCTCCGATGTGAAGTGCCTTGGCGACGGGTGTGGAGAAGGTGGCCCACACGGTGAGACTGGAGATGTACCCGAATGCCTAGTAGCGTCCTTGCTCCGAGTGGCGATGCCAGGAGCCCCTAGTAGCTTCTTATAATTAATGTACCCCCCAAAACACAATCCCACGGACCCTCAATAACCATGAGTTGATAGAGGACATCCCGTCTTCCAGGGGCCCATGGTGATCGGAACCAGGAGCGTATGACCTCGGAATCTGGAGATCCGGAGGCTGCAAGAAACCCTCCCTGCAACTGCCCATGGGTTGCGTATTTCGCTTAGTTGTTCCCTGGTTGTAGAGGAGAATGTCGTTCCAGGGGCCATGCCATCCACTTCCATGATGATTGGAGAGAGGCGGGTTGATGTCATGAACATTGGATCGTCATTTGAGTTACCTATATGACTGAGCTGAGTGGAGTAGAATGAAAATCCGGCCAGGCGCCCTGACAGTCACGACCGCCGTGGCGCAAAGGCGGTCCCTGACGTACCTGGCCGTTGTTTTCATCCGTACCCAGGGGTCTCCGGTGCCCCAGTCTGCTCTGAAGAATGCGAGGAGTCTACTAGTAGCGATGCCCTTGCTCCGTTCGTAGTAAGGCCAGGAGCCCCGCTTCCGCTGCGTCCTTGTTCCGTAGCGATGTCAGGAGCCCCTAGCCCGAGTAGCTTCTTGTTACTGAGGCAGCAATCCAATGAAGGGCAGCTCTTCACCAGTCGCCCCGACCGTGAGCGAATCAGCTCGCGGATTGTGGGCCGCTTGGCAGCGCATCGGATTGGGCTTGGCTCCGGATTCCTGGCCCTGGGGTGGGCCATTTGAGGCGTTGAACGCAAAAGAACTGAGCCCTTTGAGCACCGCAAGAAACCTCCCAAGATGAACTAAGAAAGTGATGCGACATAGGGGTTCAATCATACGTATTTTGCAGAGCTCATTTGTTTTTAACTTAAGGATTTGTCACCACAAAACCATGCCAACCATTCTTCTCTAAGGGTCGTATTGAAGGCTAAGAAGGTATCTTTATAGACATGGTCATTTCGGAATCTAGAGGATGTCCATAATTTGTGAACTCTGACATGGGCTTTTCTAGGCTGCTGCCCACCAAGCTTCGTTTGGAGGGCCGTCACAGAGATGCTTTTAACTTTGGAAGAGGATTAGCCCTGAACTCCTGTGCCTTTGTTGCAGAAGTAGCGGCACCTGTCAATGTGTATCCGGGGATCGCTGTCAGGGTGCCGGGTGATATAACTTAATTAAACAGATAAACTAGTAAATCACAACAACGTTGGAATTGGCTTGCTGGAGTTTGAGGTCATCAATGGGTTCTATCGGATCTTGCTACCAATGAAATGATGGTCAAAGAGACTACACAGCAACACAAAACACATCAAATGCAAACACTGGGGAACATGTCACACTTAGCTCTCTGAAACATTTTCATACTTTTCCCATGTTCGTTCTGGTCGTGTTCTTCTTTACCAGCTCCTTTCGTTGCACCAGATGGCCGTACTCTTTGCTGGTGCATCCAACCCCCCCCGTTTGCATGTCATCACCGGATCTCTACCGGTCTTTTGCACACCCAAAAACGTGTCCAGCGGCGCGTCCGTCCGCGATGCAGCGCGTCCGCGCTGAGCTCCACGGAAGCAGAAGATCGACACCAGCGCGTTGAAGCATATCGTTGAGGTGCCGAGGGCGGCAGGTTTCGTCTGCCCGTTGCGCCCAGCGGTTTGATGTTATTCTTTTTCAATGCCCCACCATTTAGCCTGAATCCCGAACCAATATATGGTTTTACTATATATAAGGGTTAGTTTTACACTACAAAGCGTGGTCAACCATTGTGTAAATGGTTTTAGAAGGCTAAGGAATGGATTTCACCACTCTCCACCTGAACTAGACCGTACGCCGATACTATGGCCTGTCGCTTGAATCCACTTCAGAAGGTGTTTGATGGTTTCAGATATTTTTTATTTGAAGGTTCAACCTTTAAATGATTTGGGATGATTGAGCCCAGCCTCACTCATGTATTTCAAGCGAGTTGAAACCCTCCCAACCAGACTTGAATGTTGCTAGATGGCCAGAATGGAGATCCGACCCCAGACCGGCCAGGTATGTCTCGTCATTAGGGTCCTTTTTTGGGGCTCCCTTGACCACAGCCAACGATCCGGAGGAAGTCTCCACCATCACGGCAGGTGGATGTGGAGAAGGGCTTCGTGGTGGCCGAGCCGCGCTTGCGCATGGTGGCGCCTTGGCCGAGCAGCACTCGCAGATCCAGGGTGCTGTCTGACGCGGTGAGGGGGAAGAAAGAGATGTAAGAATCCCCAAGGATCTAATATAACCCTACAAGTCCTGGGACCTTACAAAGTAGGTCCACTGCCGAATAGGGCCTATATTATATTATATGACAGACTCAGTTGTTCCAAACTTGTCAGTGCAACAGACTCAGTGGCCTGAGGCCAGATCCAATGTTCTTGGTGGAGTGTGGGCAGTTGGTGATTAACGTTGTATCCAACCACGTACCTTTGCTCAGCTGTAGAATCCATGATACCTCCAAACAGACGCCGCATATATAATATTCAGATTCATTAAGTGCATCTTTTTTTTTTGCAAACCTCCAATTTTATCTTCCTTCATATTCCAACCCTTTCGTGGGTGCTTGGCTGCTATTGGTTTCTTCCTTCTGCCAGACCACCCTGTCCATCCGACCTGACCCGTCGCTTCCAAGGAATTGTCCCACTTCTTGCTGTCGTGCCTTGGCAGATCCGATCCTCGCCACCGGACCGGTCGGTCCGACTCGTTTGCGTGGGCGCTTCAAACGGCGGTTCCATGTCGTCCACGGCCGATAGTCGCACGGGTGGCCGGTTCCGGCAGAGTTCCGGATTCGCCCGGTCTTCAGGGGGTTCTGAAGCGTTCTGGGTCTACGGTATAGGTTTGGGGCCTCCAGGGATTTTGAGCAACGTCTCATCTCAGATGACGAACTTCAGGGAGGTGCCGAGATGGCCCCCCGGTGTCGATGCACGGGTCTATGGGACGGGCGGACGGGAGGCTCAGGTGGAACGGATCGATTTCAACCTCGATGGCTCTATGCAATTGAAAGGTTTGTTGCTATGGAAGAAGACAGGACCTTGGGGGCACTGGGAGTGTCCATTCTCGTGGGCGAGAGATGGGATCATTGAGGGATGGTTTTCTTGAAGGCTTGGGCTGCAAGGCTGAAGAGGGATTAGGGGCTCAGACAAATCACATGAGTGAGGGTGTATAGTATATATACATATCATATATTATACATATTCAACTGACTCAAGTGACCTGGTCTTCATGCAACAATCCCTTTGGCAGCTCCTGTGTTTGGCTGCTCCATCATCAGCTGTGACCGCTTCGCGTCACCTGGTGCCTTCCGCCCCCATCCACCGAGGGATACTCGGACCGAGGCAGGGCTACTCGGTGCCATGTGTGCCGGAGCTGGATGATCTCACGGTGGGTGGGTCCCTTGGCCGCCGGTGGCCCCACCGCCTTTTTCGGCTTCTCCAGGAGTTCCACCGGTTGGTGGTGTTGCAAGTGAAGGGACGTGGAGGGCGGATGGAAGCGAAGGGACGTGTGCGAACCGGTCTTATCGGTGGACTTGGTAGACGCGGAGAAAGTGACTGATGTACAAGAGAAAACCGACTGCCACCGTATATATTTCCATACAGTTTCACACATGTTTTTTCCAGCATGCCTTGTTCTGGCGATGTGTAGCCAAGTTGAACTCGCAGAAGAAGTTTCTCCGTGAACATCAAGGATTTGCAAAACAATAATGTGTTTGAACACCAAAGTGGTGCCCAGATCGGCATCGATGGCCTTTGAGAACACGTCCCCGAGGGACCTTGGCATCTCAGTCACATGTATGCGTTAACTCTCCAGACATCCGAGGCTCTTGATGGGCTGCGGTATCGAGTCGACGTCATGGAAGTATGGCATGTTCAATGAAATTTGTTACTTGGCTTCGGAAGAAGAGCACCTTCGGCGCCCGCAGCGATCGAGACGGGAGAGCGTGATTCCAGGTGATACCATAGACTCATTAGCTCTTTACTGGCACTTGATTGCCTTAGCACTTTAACAGCGAAACAACGCATGAGACAGCTTGAGAGCTTTACTTGAAGTTCGAGGTGTTTTCAAAACGAGTTAGGGGCAAATTAGAGGCACGAAACAACTTCTGGTACATGAACAACCACAGCAACAAACCAGGAGACCGCAGCAACCAATCAACAGTGGTTCACCAGAGAAGGCACTCGTTCACCTCTTTGGTTTCCCGGTCTTCGTTGGGAGTCCAAGGCCTGCACCGAGGCTGTTGGCCCCCCTGCCCCCGTTGGCCCCCCCTGAAAAGAGTGTCTTTGGAATCACGGGGTATTTGGCGCACATGTGGAAGGTCAAATGCGGGGCAGAGGGGTCATGACATGGGCGGTCCAGACCCAAAATCATCATCAAACTATTGAAGGTAAGCTTCAGAATACATTGTTTCGCTGACCCCAAACAAATATACAGTGCTTGTACTTTGTGACCTTGTGTAGTCCTTTTCATCCTGACACCTTTGTTGGTCACCTGCGAAGCTCCGTGGGTCGGAGTGGGAAGATCTGCTTTGGTACTTCCGACCTTTGCACCGTTCGACCTGACGGTTCAGGGACCATCCAAGAGGTACCGAAAGAAACCACGCTGCGCTCGCTCGCTCTTTGTCCCGCGAAACAACGGGAGCGTCCCTGCACAGCACCACTTCGCGATTGCCAGACCTCCACCAGAGCAAATCGCAAAGAAAACACGTGTCGGAGAAAACCACGTGTCGGACACATGGACCCGAATGCTTTGATGGTCCCAAGCTGGAGCCTTCTGCGTCACCCCTCACCCCCTCCGGTCACCTGGGTACTTCGCCGCGACTTCGAGTCGCAGGTGTCGCCTACGAGATTGTGACGGCCGGCGGAGAGGTGATCTGAACCGAACCGTCGTTGTCTTGACCGGGAACCGGAGATTTAAAAACGGTTTGATGTCGCACATACCGGGTTTTACTTGAGTGTTATTGTTGTGTTGTGGGCACAGGAACGTGCACTTGAAACTGGTGTCGTGAACACGCGGCGGCCGTTGGATTTGGTCAGTTGCGTGTTAGTTGACAAGGATATTTCTTCAGTTTTGTTCTGACTGACCAACATGGAAATGCAAAGTGGCCTCTTGGGAGACTACTTTCCGCAAAAAACATGAGAATGTCCACTTCCATGTTAGTGAGTCAGAGTGTAGCTATGACTTTAAGTGTTGTGCAATACCGACTCAACGACTTTGGAATGCCTGATGCTTTTTACAACGAAACCAGGCTTGGATCCATAGCTAAACCAAACTCCAGCCGAGGTGTATTCATGAGGTGCTATTCACGTCCCCTGGATAACCTTCAACCGGCCTTCCCTAGGGCTCCAGCCATATCCTCAGAAGGTGGTTAGACCCCCCAAACCCACCCCAACCATCTTCTCAGGAGGTGGTTGGAGCCCTAGGGCTTCAACCTTTTTGGGATTGGCGGGTTCCCCACTCTCTCATCCAACAGGTGGAAAGTTCGGTTTGCAAGGGTCACAGCTCGTGGCATGGGTGGTTTGGAACACCAATTGGCGGCTCCGTTTTGGGCGGCTTTTAATAAGCCGTGCATCGAGTCGAAGAACCGCTTCTACCTTCAGGAGATTCCAACAGTACTTTATATAATTTAATGATGATGGGTAATGATGGGATGGAAGCAAGAGATGGTCAGTGATATTCAATGATATTCAGCGATCATCCATGCTGGCCACATGCATGCAAAGCGCCACATGCTGGACGCCTTGACTTCTGAGGCTTGTTGATCACCAATCTACACATCCCCTAGGGATCCAAGTACCTTCTCAGAAGGTACTTGGACCCTCCAAACCTACATAACAGTGCCTCCAATCACCTTCTGAGAAGGTACGACTGGATCCCTAGGGATCTTGATTCAATCTATTCCCCGCAAAATGCCGAGATCTCGAGTGAACGGTCTGGCCGCATCCATCTCAAGAGAGCACCCCACCTTCAGCGGCCTGGCTCGTCCCGTCCTACCCAGTGCCATCCCAGTCCCAGTGACGCATGCCTGCTGGCCGCACACCCATCGGTTCGATCGGAGCTCCGCTGGGAAAAGGTGCTCAAAGTCACGGAGGAGAGCGACAAGGACGGTGCTGGGTCGAAGCCCTGACGGCAGCGGGACTGCTCATGTGACCCCGAAACAGGTGAGAATCCGTGAGCAGTGCAGTCAGCAGTCAATGTTGTTTTTAATTTTTTGGGGTGCGCATCTGTTCTTTTTGCAAAATATATATTAGTAATTTGTTGTATGTCCTTTTTCCTGGGATGGTCCCAGATGGAGTTTGTCGTTTTTTTTGTGTTGTTTTCGGTACATGCTTCTGTTGGACGTCGGAAGGCTTTGCCTCAGAACGTCGATTCAAAACACATGATGACACTTGTTCACTTGTTGTATACCAGACCTCATCCAGGACACCTGGACCAGGGGTGTCTATTGATAGCACCAAAAAGAGGTGATTCGGGGTGTCCAAAACCACCCCGACAGTGGGTCCTAGATGTTCTCTATAGATGAAGTGGGGGAGTTATATAACCCTTCTTATAAAACGTTGTATGGGCCTCCTCACTGTGCACGTCCACCCCATGGAAGTTGGGTATCTGGTTGTGTTTGTGCTCCACTTCAGCTAGTTGTGGATGACCATGGTGTCTTATGGCTCAGGCTTCAGTGCTCAGCATAGACATGTTGGTAGCCTAGCAAAACAGAGTTTGGCAGTACGGGTTTTGTAAACTACACGATTGTTCTGGATCACATCAACTAAGGACGTTCTTCTTCGGCTCGCCACGATAGCAGGCGGCTTGTCCTCCTCGTCCTCGTTTGCTCATCCTCGACCTGGTCTCCCCAGGGGTTCGGTTTTGGGTGTCGAGCCTGCCGTCCCGTGGCACTGAACAACTCCCCTGGCGGACAGGTCCGGGTTTCGGGACACGTCCAGCGCTGCGAGCGCAGCGCTGTTTCAACTTCAGGAGCTGTTTTACACGTTGCCATGGAGTCATGGCACGCATGGGATCCTCGTGTCCGCCACCTTACGGATCATCCCAGCCCCACGGCAGAGAACTGGGCCGTACAGTGGGGCCGGGCGTCAGACACTGCTGGCCATTTTGGGCTGCCCAGGTGCGGCAGACAAAGCAAATTTGAATTCATTTCTATACCCTAAAATCCAAGTACCACCCTCCAAACCTACATAACAGTGCCTCCAATCACCTTCTGAGAAGGTACTTGGATCCCTAGGGATACGGAAATTGGGAAGGGTACCACGGTACCACAATTCGTAAATAAAAACTTGGGGGCTAGCGGCTAGCAGGATCCGGGCGTTGCAAGAAACCGAATGAATCCAATGAACACCGGCCATGAGCGCCTTCGACACTCCCACTATCTCCCACTGTGTTTCCTAGGAACGAAGTATGGCCGATCTTCTGTAGTTCCCATATCAAATGAAAATCTCCAAATAGGTCTTGCCGCAGTATGGCCGATGGCGCATGGCGAGTCAGGAGGTCATTTCCAATACTGCGTCGTTTTCGTGCTGTTTTTGTCCGGTGTGCTGCACGGGTGTTCGGTTTTGTTTCACTTCGGCAGAGTAGATGATTTAGGAAAGGATCTGCAGCAAGCTGACCATGAAGAGAGGCCATCAGTATGAATGTCTCCACCCAGATGTGGACAAAAGCACGGGCCGCATGGCCGAGCTTGTTCTCACTCCGTGTCACTCCCGCCCTGTCGACAGTCCAAGCCGCCTTACTCGGCGGTCGAGTCCAAGCGGTCGGGCTTCCTTCGATGGCAGGTCTCAGTGTGTCGTTTTCGTAGGGGTTGCAGTATGTTGCACTCGATGTTGCACTCGAAGCGGCACTTTTCTTTGGGCTAATTTCCAACAAGATATGACAAGATATAAAGCTCCAAAAAGGATTGACATCAAAACCCAAACAGTCAAGACGGTTCTTTGGAGGTTGCAGTAGTTGACCCAGGAAGATGAAGAGATTGAACAGCTCAGGGTAAAGAATCTTGTTTTTCTTGTCACTTGAACATAAAACAATTATATAATGGTTGATATGTTGTTTTTTGTTTGTGACATTATGAGACTACCAGCTTTTTTGCAGGAATGAATTCATGCATCCATTTGACACCCCGTTTTGTCATGAATGCTGATTTGATGCACTTAGGCAAAACCCTACGTCAGGATTCAGCTGGAGCACTGTCCTGATCGATGCTCGGCTGACATCAAGGGACTTTGGAGTGCTTTCAATGCCAAACACGACCCGTCTGGGACTGCCGATCAGGACTGCCGATCAGTTCTCATGTGGTTTGGGGTTCTATGTATGTAGGCGTATCGACTTCGCATCTCTTCCATTCCCGTGGCTGTTTCCTCCTGAGCCTCATCAAACGTTCGACGAGGCGGAGGGACCAACCTCCCCGCCGACCGGGGGACCGACCGTCGTCCTGGGGAAGAAGATCTGGAGACCACAAGAACATGCAAGAACTTATGGCTTGAGAGATGTTACATGATTGTGAACACATGTGAATAGTTTCTGTTTCTAGTTCTTGGTGTTTCTGTCTATGGAATGGAATAAATGAACATCGTCACTATCTAGGAAATTATAATTACATTATAGTCTCACAGCAACCGCCACACATCTCTGATTGAGCCTTCGGACATATCCGGAGATCGGTATGAGGCATATCCTTCGAACACCTCGGCCCTGTAGTTCACTGAGATCCGAAATGATTTTCTGCACATAGTGAATCCAGCATGCAACAGCCACATCTTAGTTGATTCCAAACCCCTCATTGTTGATAGTTCATGCTTGCCAACACCTTCCTGATTCTGCCAACACCTTCCCCAAAAAAGACTTGCTAAACAATATAATCGCTTCGAAGCTGAGGTGGATCCCCCACCCCACTCGGAGTCTAAGACAAATGACTGGATCAAACCCAGGAGTTACGAGGGCCTGGGTGGTTTGCTTCGTCCCATTCCAGGGGAGTGAGTGGATGTGTGGCACCGAACCGATCTCCTACCTCCCTTCGGAACCGGCACCCAACTCCATATGACTCCTTGACATCGTTCGGGCATACATGGGGCTGTCTATGGCTTTCTGGTGCATCTCACCCACTTGACTTGGGTCTTCGATCCCGGATCGCGGATCTGCGGCGATCACGTCGAACGAGGCACATCTTTGTGCAAGGCATTGGAGATGCTCGACCAGATTGATCGGGGGAGGTGGAGTTCATGGTGCAGCTGAAGCGAATTCGATGGAATATGATAGAATATCTTGAAGTGTATTGTTAATAGTGTGGTGTGTGGCATACATACCACAGCTTCCTATGCGGTTGAATTAATCAATATAATATTTATTTGCAATTCACTCCCCTCACTTGTCCCCAATGTGTGTGTATGTGTATGTATACACACTACACACACACACTCGAGGTTTGCTGAAAGACCCGCGGTCTTGCACAGGAGTTGAAGGGTTTCCGTTGCATGATTCCCAGGTCCGAGGAGGGGCGAACAAGGAAGACCAAGTATATAACAGTATATACTAACACTGGGAGATGGTCTATGTTGCAAGTTAAAACTGGGCTTTAGCACAGCCTTCACTAGATGGCTCAAGTGTCACAACATGCATAGATACTTAGATTTGAGGTGTTGCAAGGAAGAGTTGCCAACCGATGGAGCTCATACAGTTCATACAGTTTTGTTTCATGCTATGTCAACATAAAATGTGCCTTCTTCTCCTTCTAAAATCCTCACCCAAATCCACCCGGCATTCCGCCATGGACGGAACATCCTTAGGAGCTCGGTCGCGAGCGGGGACCACGAGTTCGTGGAGGGTTTGGCCTTCAATCCCACCTTTGCAGTGGCTGCTTGGCGGCGTTTCGCGACTCTGTATGTTGATTTTTCCTGGGAGCATGGAGAAGCGAAGGGAGGAAGGGAGGTTGGGAGTGGGTGGGGAAGAGGCTTTTTAGTTCTGGTCAAGAAATGGCAGGATGGTTGGCAGTTGGAAGAATATTGTGAGGTTAGTAAGTTACAAGCGCATGTTTTTCCTGCTGTACATTGAGTGTTGGGAGTTTTGACCTACACGGCCCAGTGACTTGTTGAGGCAAGAATGAGGGTGTATAGGATGTTTGTGCAGGCTTACTCAGGGGTTGATTTGGGTTATTTTGTAGACCATAAGGATCCTCGTGAAGCGGACAGTTAGATGACAACCAACTGCAGTATTGTCCAGTGTCCAGTACTGTTGCATACTACATCCTCTAATGTATCATTACTTTCATGTGTGGTCTTGAGTAGTTTGAGTTGGGCATCCTCTCGTTGTATTTCAACCATGCACAAAAGCTATCAACTGTTTCCGTACGTTTCTTTGGGCATCTCGCTTGTTAATGCATCGTGGCAGCTAGGGAAAACATCCTAACAGACGTCGCGGGAGTTTCATGATTGACAGTTGTTGCTCCTTCAGTGACACGGGGATTGTTTCACGATATATTTATTTCCGACCTTTCTGAGGACAAAGACCAGCATTTGGTTCTCTTTCTCTGCAGTGTTTGATGTTAGTGTCAGTGTGATGGTTTCTTCTTCAACAATTTAGCATGTGTTCAAACAATGAAGTGGGGTGTTTGATGGACACAACATTAAGATCATTTATACATTTTACTGTATATATACTGTATATATTATATATAATATATTATATAACTTATTCGTTTTTACACTACTTTGATGATTGGTTCCCACCAGAGGTATTTGCTCAATATGAGACCACTTTGCTCTTGCCATTGGTTTTGGGAGAGCCGCTGGTGAATTGTCGCCATACGAAAACCCATGGCCCAAGAATTAAAACCCCGACCGGCTCAAGAGCCCAGGTGATGAAAGGCTCATATGTGGCCCCTTGGCACCGACATCGAGCACATGCGACGTCCGGACGCACGTGCTCGACGTTTTTTCGGTCACGACCGCCAGGGATGGGATCCATCATCAGGTTTGGATCCAGTTTCACAGGTGTGTTTTGCCATGGTTTTCCCCACTGATGTGGAGGTTTGACATCCTGGGTATATTTGATCGTAATATTTGGTGGACTTTCAAGGGTCAACCAGGACCCAGGATTTGACCCACACCCCGAGATCAAGAGTTGAAAGAAGAGTGAGAAGGGTGCCACGAGAACTCTGCCAGAACGCCTCAGTTCTGCCCAGGAAGAATGAACGCTAGCCATATGAAATCCATAACATGTTCATTCTGTTCATTGATGAGTCCGGAAAGAGCAGCTGCTCATATGGCAAAAATCTGATTCCACGAGACCCAGTTGTCGAATTCCAGGGCATCTTGGGGTTGTTGAAAAGGGGTCAATGTATTGAATTAGCTGCCTAGGCATACATCGACATTCCAATCCCATGGATTTGTCTTAGGATGTTCAATGTTCATCACTTTCTGAGGACGCACCAGCCGCAGATGACGAGATCCTCTCTTTGGGCAAATGGCATGATGCCTGGTTTTTCAAACAGGTCCAGGAGAAGAAGCAAGGCAGGATCAACGGGCGGACGCGCAAGGCGCAAGTGCAGGGCCCATTTGGCACAGCAGCAAGGCACCTGATAGCCTCCATGTTTAAAAAAGGACTCGGTCATGGCAAGGACGAATGGACTGAGTCCCAGGCTATCCCAGGCTTGCATGCTTGAGTCGCTTATATGGATATTGTTAGAGCAAAATCACAGCAGATTGGTTGCAGTAGATCAACAAGCTTGGCTGAACCAAACCGGGCCCAGTAAATTACAGCTTTCGTCCAGGTGTGTCCTCTATACAGTGGGTCCCGGGTCCAGAGTAGACAGCACAAAAGTTACTCGGATCCCAGTACAGTATTGTGCTTTGAATGTGTGCTGTGCTGCGTTTGCGAGGGTGACGGTTTTCAAGAACCTGGACAACCGTGCCAATGCTTGTTCTGTTTTTGTCCTGGCGGGGAGCAAACACATCAGATGGGGGACACGTCGGACATTGAAACACTTTCTGCGTTTAGATGGTGCATTGCATGTTGGCCCACGACGTCGTTTTGCTCGCAATATGTATTATATTATATATAGGTGTGAATGTTGGGGCCAACTTTGGTGCGTAGGGCCCGGATCGCCCACTGCTTGTTTGGGCTTTAAACACGTTGGCTGCCGGGTTTGAATTCGATGTTTGATGCTTCACGTGTCATATAAGATCATGTCTCCCCAAGATAGAAAGGCTTCCAGAATCCTTGCACCCAGTGTCGCACATACATTGACCTGTAGATCGAGGACATACATCTTCCTCACCCAGACCTCACCTCCAGCCCGCGTTCTGAATCAGATATTGGATGGTCAGAGACCCAGGGGTCTGGCGTCTTCCAATCCCCAGCTTCTCTCCCTTCACCATCAGAGACCCTCAGCAAATCCCCCGCCTGCTGCCGGACCAGGCACGGTGTGCATGCGTCGGGCGCCCTTGGGGAGGGAGTGCACGTGGATCACGTGCCGCGTGGATCGGAGGGGTGAAAATCCAACAGGTGGATAAAGCCGTTTCATAACTCCATACATATCACATGATCCCGTGATTTTGCCGGGGATTTTTGAAGTTGGGCCACACCAAGTCAGACTAAAATGAAGTCCAATTCGGCTGGCCGGTCCGGCTTGGCTGCAGAGGGAATGTGAGATGAAAAAGGGAAGACTGAAGAATGTCAAGAAGCAGGACATCCATCCGGCTCAGCTCATGCAAATCGATGGCCCATTTCCTAGCCTTTTCGGAGCAGTCTGCTGTTAGGAGTCGATGTTTGTTTGCTTTTGTTGATTTATGTTTTTATTATGCCCAGCAATCTGCAGACATGTAGCCCGGTGGTATACTATGCGATCAATCCGTAGTGTTGATTTTGTTCTTCAAACAGAACCCCTAAGCTTCCAAAGCCGATTAAACTAATAGGCGTTTCATGAAGGCCTATTTCCAAAATAGTCGATGGGATCTAGCATGAGCATCACCCCGGAGCACCCACACAGCTGGAACACAAGCTGACATACTCAAACCCTCTTTTTACCCACGACCACGCCGAAGTTTGGCGCGTACACAGCGATTCAACCTTAGCTACAGAATCCCAACTCCACAAATCTAGAACATCACATCATCCAAAACTGAGATCTTAACCCTCAATATTACACACCAGCTTCCTCAAGAAACACATCAATAAAACGTTCATCGTGCAAAGACAAAGCCACGCTCGAATCTTCAGCTTTGTCGCCCAAATCCTCATTGGCGTCAGATGTTTGACTCATTTAGGGATGAAATCCTCAAGTAACAACATCAGTCAATAATACACACCATGCACCCTTGACCAACTGCATGCGTTATATCAACATGCATGCATGTATATTCCTGGGCATGTGTATCCCCAAAGAGCTGTTGATGCTTGTTGGAATGTTCCACCAAGGCTCCGTAGTCTTCCACAGCGCATTACCCAAGAACATCTTGCCAGTGCATGCCCTTGAATGAAGGTACCTTGGCACAAGCACACATAACGCTCTTAATGACTCACATGGCGCAAAAAACACAACATTTTATAAGCAGAACATGAATACACACAAAACCAATTCAACAATGATCAGGCCAATGGCGTTTTGTCCAGGCCATGGCGTCTTCATCTTGGAAACAATGGAAATACCGAGCATTGCATCCTTAAGCACTTGGCTTGTCAAATACAAACGGTCAAGATTTGCAGGTATAGGCTTTAGTGGCACAGCTAACTGCACAAAGAACTTGCATATATGCATGCAAGCTTGCATTCTCCAAAAGACTTTGGCAAGGGTCGACGGTGAAGCATGTTCTTAATGAGGTGCTTGAGAACCTCATTTGCACCGAGTGTGCAAAAAACCAAGTGTCCACTTTCATCAGTGCAACACGTAGCAGAACTCAGCAGAACAGGCCAACCAGGTAGCAAAAATCCTCATATGTGCGCAGGAGCCTGTTTAAAACATGCACACATTCACCACATGCATACAAGGGACATGCACCTTGGGTCGAACATGCCATTCACGCAGTTCGCGCCTTTAAAACAAATGCAAAGAGATCATGCAAGGATTGAACAAGATTGCATGGTTGGACTTTGTACTGTCAAAGCACTTTAAAAACAATCAAACTGTTCAGCAAGTGCTTGGGTCACAGTGCATGATGCCTCAGGGAAATTCTGGCCAAATAGAGATGGTTTCGGAGGAATGCCATTCCATCACTGTGAATTGCATTGGCTTCCTCATCTGTCCTGAAGGGTTTAGTGCATTGCTATAATGTTAAACCCCTTAAGTACAAAGCACCACCCACCACAAAAACAGACGTTTGTTCAATCCGATTTATATATCGAATGAACAATTCTTCAAACATTGAACAGAATGGATTCAAGGCCCACTATGCTCAGGGAAACTCAAACCCAAATGACTTACTAAGATAATCAGCAGGGATCAGGAAGCGGCCGGCAGCTTCAATGCCATGAACAAATCTGGCAAGGTGAAGCCTTGCATGCAGGGAGACCCAGACCCCGAGTGCACAGAGAAGCCAAATCGAAGGTTTGCAAAACATGGATGTTGGAAGGTTGAAAAATAAGTACTAGAGCTGCATAGTCGGTTCTTATATAATATATATATATTATATTATATAGTATTATTATAACTTTGCATCGATCAACAACAACTACTACTATGATATATTAAATATTTATATCTGAGGGTCTGCAAACAAGCTGATCAACAACAACAAGAAGCATTGTCACAGCAACAAGGGGCATCCTATCATCTGCAGCCACATAGCTCTCCTGCTGCGCAGCCTCAGCAATGGTCTCAGCAAGCCATTGCATCACCACTCTCCCGTTGTAGGCTTTGCATACCAATGCCACATCTCCGTTGCTCTGGAACAACTCAGCTCGAAGAGTGATTGGTTATGAACAAACCAACAATGCATGCATGCATTTATTGAACCTGATGCCACTATCCTCTTGAAGCTGTTTGCAAAAATATTTTGTCACTTCACCTAGCTGCATACTTTTCATTGAAGGCTGGCTGGCTGCAGCTAATCCTTTTTGAAGAGCACCAGCGCTTGAAGGCCACATATGCTCTGTGCAAGCGAACTCGAACGGGCTCATCAGTGGCACCCCAATGCCCAGCTTGGAGCAACATGGACCTTGTTGTTGGCTGGCAGGATGGGAGAACGACAGGCAACCCAATTCAGGTCATGTCGTGGCAGCAACAACCCACATGGTTACCTCGAGGGATTCCCAACAAAGAAAACATTATATATATAATTCAGCTAGCCGCATTGTGCCCCCATTTGCTGTATAGAGCAAACCCAGGTGCAATGTGTGCATCAAGCACCATCTGATGCATGTAGGGTGAAAACCTTTCAATGCGATGAATGGACCTGAGCTGGCCCAGTGCACAAAACAAGAGCGTGCAAACCCATGAACTTTTGGTATTAGTTTTGCAGGGAGCGCCAGGATGACCTATGATCGGCTCACAGGTCGGCTATCATATCCCCAAAGTACTTTGGCCTGGCTAGCGCACTGTTTTTCAGAGTTGGTGAATGCTGCAAGCTGTTGTTGAACACCCTGGTCAAAGCCTTCAACATTATTGCTAAGACAACCAATCAAGGCACAAATGCCCCTGGATGGAATGCGCTTGCTTATAAACTCTGCCAAATCGAATTCATAGGCTGGTGTGTCCAGATTCCAGTACAGGTCATTCTGGTTGTCACTCTTCCCAAGTGCATCGCAAAGCGGACACATGGTCGTCACTGAGTTCCACTGGCAATTCAAGAACTTGAAGAGTTTCTTATGCCATTGCCAATCCCCTCGTATCTCTACCACTTGAAACTGGTGATGCCCAGTTGTCAATGGAGCACCAGCCATTGAAGCTGCCTTTCCCAGAAGTACTTGGCCCTGATTTCCTTCAGCAGGAAATCGACCGAACCATGCATGGTTGCAAGACCAAACAACTCGACGCAGAACAGTCGGAATGGATTCACTGGTGCATCTTTCCTCCGGAATGCAAAATAGAAGGAATCGACTCCAACGGACAGATTTAGGTCTCCAAAGTGGTAGATTGGCAAAGATAGATACAACATGTTCAGCGCCAAAGTTTGTTTTGACTTTGGCACTGTCACCATAGAGTCCAATTGGAATTCGATGGTGGTTGCTCTCATCCTGTGCCCAAGGTTCTCCATGTCTCTTCGATTCAGCCCAGAAGCTTCGGATGTAGGGTGCTGGAATATCCACATGAGCGTCTTCAATGAGAAAATGCATGATGGAGTGAACATCCAGTATGGGCCAGCTCTCTATCTGAACCACAGTGGCACCGTCTTCATCGACATACTTCACCGGTAGATCAAGGTGCTGAATTTCCTGAGATATGATCATCACCCTGACAAAACAAAGCTTCCCGAAATGTAATATCTAGATTTCACGTTTAAATTAATTGCTGGTCTGAGTGTAAGCTGCAATGAGGGTGGTGAGCTCCCCGAGTAATATGAACATGTTGCAAATTGATCGATGCAATATAAAATAA